GAGCAATGTTATGTTATTTTTCACAAATGATGGTCACTCGAAAAGAAAAACTTCCCCAACCGCCACACCGTTTTGGCCGCAGCGTGATCTGAGTTATAGGGTCACGACTGGATCCCTAGCCGCTGACCGCCCGAAGGACATTGCAGACTCGTTTTCCCACGCTCTTGCGACTTGACGTGACAAATGACGTCAATGGCCTGAGGTCAGGTGAATGGCAATTGCGCAATACAGCGAACAAAATTGTATCATTTTCAAAATCCAAAAACTGACTATATTTCAATCATTAATTACTTTGCAAAACTAGATTATCTACAGCTCATAAAAGTCCTAAAATCATACAAATTAACTGACTAACCTAATTTTTTGCTGTTTACTGACTAAGTTTCTTTTTTCTAACAGTTTACTGACTAAATGGGTTTTCTTTAGCTGTTTACTGACTGGGGCTATACCTCATTGAGACTCTCAGTTATAAACTGTTGTCGTTCATTTCTACATTCTGCTATAGTACCCTGGCTTCGTAGCTAGATATGGGACAATTTTGCTATTATTTAGAACACATTGCACCATCCTGACGACGATTATGGCTCCTGGCGTTTTTGACCTTTGGGTTTGCAAACAAAAGTTCTCTCCAGCTTTGACTTCAGCTGATGTCTTGATTGCTCAAACGGATCATATATTTGCCGAATTTTCCTCCTTTTCTTTTCCTTTTATCCCAGATTTTTTTATTTATTTATCTGTTTAGTTCTTGTGATGGTGAAAAACGATAAAATCGTAGTTCCTAGTCCTTGTGAGACACGGCCTTATTAAAAGGGGTAAGAAAGCATTTGTAACTACACAGATTAAGGTATGGGGAATTCGATGTTTAAGTAATTCCGTAAGTAAATTCTAGCTGTTTTCTGCTAGAGCTTTAGATCAATGCTGTCCTAATAAATGGATATTTTATTCAAATTCTCTTATAACAACGCGGTGATTAAATTTGACGTGTAAAGCAAGCGGTTTCTAAAGATACCGACAAGTGTAATGAATTCATGGGGAAAAATGCTATTGTTTCACGGAAATTCGTGTCACCCTTATATAACACTACATAGCAAGTAAGATGTCCTGATATTCTGATGTGTATTTGCCTTTGAACTAATGGGAAAAAAAGGAAACAAAACCCAAGTGAAGACGTTTTCGAGATATGTACATGTGTAGACATCTTCGAGTGTATTTTTAGCTAAATCATGGTAGTTAAAGCTATACGAATATTCCTGGCTGCCGTGGTCCTTGTAATGTCCGTAGCAAACATCCTATTCATCGTTGAAAACTGGAACACGGCTCAAACTGAAGCAGCTAGAAGGAGCTGGCCGTTCGAGAAAGAAGAAAGTAACAGGATTGTGCCGAGCAAAGCTTTCGAAACAACTGCAAGTTCTGTAGAAGGCGGTATGTATCATTTACTTCTTGATTAATACGTGTTTGAACTGAACATTTGTAAATTAATTATCAAGTACTGGAGCGTTGGACTCGGTTCTTTAGTCTTATTTTAAATCAGTTAAACCCACTCTCAGTTCAACTAAATGAACGTTTGTCTTTTTGTGGAGGCAGTAGAAGTTTAAAAACTAAATCGAAGTAAAACGCTAAAGTAAACGGTCATGGTTTTATTTAACCGTCAGATGAATTAATATTGTATTTCCATTGAACAGTTGCCAAAATAAGTTTGGAGAAGTCCGTGAGAAAACTGGTTTTGTTTTTATCATGGGCTGGATAAAAAGAAACATTGACTGGACAAACTACGGTGATTTTTTAAACCACAAAACGTTAAAGCTATACTGAGTAAGGTCGCTTTAGAGGCAAAACTAGCGATGCCCGAACACGAGAGCCGTAATAAGAAACCACATTGATTGAAGGAAGAAGGAACTCGGAATCGACACTTAACATCCACATTCTAGGGGTAAAAAAGGATTACAATATTTATGTGGTTTCAGTTTTATATGAGAAACCCTTAGCTATCAGTTTCCCTTCGCAAAAGAATACAGGTTTATTCCACAATAAAGACAATAAGTCAGGCTGAATTAAATTAACAAGCTACTTACCCGGAAAGGAACTTCACGCGAAGATATGTATATTTTGCCGATGCTTAAAATATGTAGAAGAACAACTATGATAGCCTTAAAGTTTACTGAGGAGAAATTGAGAGCTTTTTGCTAGTGTTTACTTCAATATAAGGTGTAGGATATTGCTGTTAATCAGTAAACCTAACAATAAAGTATATTTAATCGTAAAATAATTTATACAAAAGCAGCCACATTGAAATACAACGATGTTTTCGTTAGTTTAATTTCATGCTGGACATAAGGTTTTCGTAACAAAATGGAGAACAGAACGAGCGGAATTGTCGCTATAAGAGATCTATGGCTACTAAGTTATTCAGATCACCTAGTGATCAAAAATTGTCCAGAACTATGCGACACTCTTGGTCCGAGTTGGCCTGGGAAAGACTTGAAAATGATGGACCAATAGCAAATCAAGCAACTTCAGTTTTTAGAGGACAAAAACCCTGTACCAGAATAATTTTAATTATATTACGTCCTTTTTGAATTTTCTAAAAGCTGAAGATATAAATAGTTGCCCGAAATAGCGCCAAAAACCCATGGAAACTCTGAAACTTTGAAAATAAGTTTCAAAGCCCAGAGAATTGTGCAAACACAGGTAAAATTTATCATCAGTTTCATTTCACCAGTACTTTCAAGTGTTTTATATGGATTTAAAAATTTTGTTTTGAGAATATATTTAAAACAGTCGCAAAGACGTTTGTCATACATAAGTTTTTGTACATTTGTTACTCGAACTTCTGGTAGATTTCTTCTTGACACTCTTTATCGAAATATCAATGAAACCTAATATGAGCCCCTGGTAACTTTGCTGCACCTTATACACTATCATCAATTAATCACAAGAATTACTTTTGTTTCATTTATGAACTCTTTGCTATCCATGGTCAGCTCCAGTTCTTAGCAAAACAAATTAGGTCTTTAGGCCCGCCAGACCAGCTCTATTAGAATGACTAAAAACAAAACTAGAACTCTTGTAGCGCCAGCCAAAAGCTTAAATGAGAATTAATATAAGAGGCGTATTTAATTGCGCTTTGTTGTTGTAGGTGATATAGATATACAGGTTTACTCCAGCAAGGAAAAGGCGTCGGTAATTGTTAATGGTGAAGTGGTGAGTAATTTTCTTAATGGAGTTCGTTGTCTGCATGCGATATAAGACATACACGGTACTTCCTTTTTCATCAATTTACGGCCCAAGTGTAAAGCAAGCAGACCATAAATGGACGACAAAAACGAGGATACCCATCTTTATACAGTTCGGACCGAGAAAAGCAGTTAATAGGGTTAATTAAGCGATTTAAGGTTAATAAGATCTAAATAAGATTAGAGAGAAAACTCCCCGACAGTGAGTCACAGAGGCCATACGTAAGTGAAATGTATTCTTTTTCCTTTCGCGCATATTATAGACTTTTAACAAAAAATATCAAGCTATAAAAGTCTTTTTCAAATGGTAAAACCGCTAAAGACACTTTTCAACTCAATATCGGGAGTGAATGCACGCCAAGAACAAGAATATAAAATTTCTGCATGTGCCGTCCGTGGCCTAAAATTAAACCGGCTGTGCTTTGGTTTCCTAATGGCAAGTTTTAACCATAGAACAACAATGGTTCTTGAGAATGTATAGCTATTTAAACGAAGTTGCTGTTTTAGTTTCTTGACATTTTGACTAACATACTCTTCTCGTTTGCAAGGTATCAGAAATGAACCTAGAGAGAATGCGTGGAATTGCTGCATTTGTTTTAAACCAGAAAACTGGCGCTCTCATGGCAGCCAGAGCGTTTGATACGTACGCGTCGAAAGAGGAAGGCGAGGAAATTGTCAAATTTATCGAGATTCTACAAGACGGAAGAATCGTTTGCTTGGCGGTAAAGGTAAGGAATTTTTCAAACTCATCACAAGAAATTGAAAAAGATTTTAATATAAGGAGACTTGCTAAGAATGGCGCATGTTGAAAAATATAGCCGTAATTTTTCAAGGCTATCATTATAAATCTACATTAGCAATCCATCTTATGTTATCTTTGTTCTTTTTTGTTTTATAAACACCTCTCAGTTTAATGGGTTTTTTTTTATCTTAGGCCCAGTTCAGACGTCGTGCTTCTGCCGTGCCGAACTAAATTCAGGAATTAAGTTCGACAAAAGCACTGCAGAAGCACGGCGTCTGAATCAAACTTTTGAATTAAGTTCGGCAAGCAATTAAGTTCGACAAGCTC